CCCCCCCTAAAACAACAAACAGCACTAAACAAACAACCAACCAACCAACCAAAAACGAAACACAACCAAAAAAACAACAACACCCCCACTCCCCATTTTAAGAAATCGACACAATTTAGATCATTTAGGGGGCGGGCTTCAAACCCCGTCTGTTAGGACCAATATGGGCCTAGAGGAATGCAACATCTCAACAGAAAGACCGAGATACTAGATTAAAAAATAAGAATTCTCCCACTTTGGAATCGAGCTCGGGTCTGCTGCGTAATACAGCGAAGTGTCTAACTGTTACATCACAGATTTCGGTATGGTTGAGCCTGACAGACTAGGCAAAAGCTGCACTATCTTCAATGTGCAAATTATTGCGTTAATAGAACTGTAACCACGTGCTATTATAAGGTCAGAATCTAAACGGTGTGAACGGTAGACATGCACGATATGTTTAAATCTAGTTCTAGGTCACTTTGAAGTATTGTATTTTGATGATTTAAATGTCATTGGGCTAATGAGATAGCGCAAACGTAACAACTTATTGGTTCAGCCGCAAAATATCTCGAATCGTTGTGAAACCAGGCGCTTGTTAAAATGACACAATCGAAGAAACTGAATTTTTTCCCGCCTGTGTGGGTTCCACTGAAAGGCGTTGACGGAATCATAAAAAATGCAAACGTGCAGTTTTTCAAAGACACTCAAGCTTTGGAAGTCACTAAACAAAGGCCGCCATTTTATTGCTAATTTTACCTCTGACACCAAGCGACTCCACCTTGGTCAATCGCAAATATATTTATCTACTTCTGTTCCAGATAAATACTATGCTTATTTATCACCAAAAGCAAGACAAATAAGCAAGCTTTAAGAGGATGTCAATAAGTGCAAATACCCCACGAGCACCTAATACCACCGCGTGTAGACATAAATGGCCAGGAAATAGAACGGCTCCCTTTAACCGGCGTCTGTGGTGTAGCATTTAGGCACTTCGCTCCGCACGCAAAAGATTTGAGTTTGCTTCTTGTATTGGTAGGTTTTTCATCGAGTTTCTTCGTATGTCTCCTGGTCATTTGTATCTCTTTTACCCCAGGTTTTCCCCGACATGCAGAGTCGAAACAGTCCGCCTCCGTAATGATCTAAACTGCGTCGATAAGGGCATAGAAAATCTACAAATACAAATTACATTTTTAGCTCATATCCAAACAACAGATACCCCACTCTTTACCTTATTTATTCAATGGGACCGAGAGAAGCAATGTAAACCACTATTCTTTCTCTTCAGATAAGAATTGAAAAGCAAAGAGGAGAAACAGGAAGAGTCACCAGCAAAAATCACAAGATTTTTTTTTTAAAGTTTGCTAGTCTACAACAAGTCCACAACAAGTTTACAACAGTCGTAACGAGCTAACATCCCATCAAACACAATAAAGAAGGGACCTAACCCAAACACAACACCAGTCTTAACCCTAACCCTAACCTTAGTCCCAACTCTAACCCCAACCCTAACCCTCTGTCTGGTTCATAATAGTCGATCATTACGGAATTCCTCCCTAACAAATTTGCAACAAGTCCACTAAAGTCTGCTACAAGTCTAAAACGAGTCAACAAGTCTGTCTTTAACAAGACCGCAACACGTTTGCAAGACTATAACAAGCCCACAACAAGTCCACAACATGTCTTCAACAGTCAAAAATAAGTTAACAAACAAAACTATACAGAACGTCTAAAAAAGGTATTTACACTTTCTGTCAAAGGGTTATAAACTAGTAACTAAGAAAATAACAATTATATTATACGAAAAAACTCACACTTTGGAATTGGAGCTCTCTTTACCGATGAGTGGCGTCTTCTCAGAGTCGTGTGAGTTGAGCTGAACCTGATCCAGGTTTGTCTCGTTTGGACTCGAGGGGGACTGGGGTTCCGACTCACTCCTATGCACGTGCGTCACGTGAGTTAGGAGTATAGTTGTAAATCTGGCTTATATGTTTATAAAATTATTCTTCTCTCTCTCTCTCTCTCTCTCTCTCTCTCTCTCTCTCTCTCTCTCTCTCTCTCTCTCTCTCTCTCACACACACATTCTCTTTC